CTGCCAGCTCATGGCCACAGGGTGGGATCAGAAGTCATTCAGAGAGGACTTCAACTGCTCTTCACAGTGTGCCACCCCTTCCAATTAATGACTTTGTATTCACAGGATATTTTTCTTGGAGTTCAGGGCATAGAACGGAGCCCTCTCTGGATTACGCCTGTGGGGTTGTGCAGTTCACCTCCTGTTCCAAGAAGCAACCTGTCCAGGGGCCCAAGGAGAGAGATTTCTGACCTCTGCTCTTTCCCTCTTCCCCAAAAGTGAGTGAGAGGGAGAGAGAGAGAGAGAGAGAGAGAGAGAGAGAGAGAGAGAGAGAGAGAGAGAGAGATGCTATTCCTCATATCACTATTTTCAAACTTTGGACAAATTGGCAGCATAAAAAATGTACCCCCTTGGGGATATTTACCTCCAAATGCCAAAGAGGCAGGTGGCAGCTCCAGCACATACACAGGTAATGTCATTTTCTGCTCAACAACCTCAGAGGCACACTATGCCTGCCCCACACCGGGATGCTAAGCCTTTGTCTGACCTAAGTGGACACAAAACACCATCTTTAATTAAGTTCTTCCTGACCACCAGCTGCCAGGTACTTCCTTCAGCAAGACAGTGCTAATGCTGGCCTCCGCTGTTCAGGACGCCTGGTTGCGTGCAGCCCATCCTGGGAGCCCCCTCCCGTCCCACGCCGCCTCCCCCCTTTTCCCCCTCTCCCCCGCCTCACTTAGCCAGGGAGTTGCTTTTGCGCAGCAGAATCGCTGTCAGGAAGGTCACGACCAGCCCTGCAAGTATATAAGGACCCTGGAGAGCGACAGAGACCCTGCGTCGGAGGAGGAGGAGCCCGTGGGAAAGAAGGAGCAGAAGAGAGGCCGCTGAGCGTCGTGGTCCCCACACAGCAGCAGCCCCTCGACAGGTAAGGGCGCAGAGCGCGGACCTCCCCGGAACGCCTGCCCGGCCTCCCGTTGCCCCACCGGTTCCGAAAGAGGACTGGGCGTCGCGAGCCGGAGTTCTTTGCAAACTTACTGGACTGACTGAACCGTAAGCACAGCGGCTAGACGGTGGGCAAAGAGCTGCGACGCCGCAGGCTGAGCTCCCGGGGATGGAGGAGTCCGAAGGTCCTGGCACTCGAGTGGGAAAACCGGGGCAAGGAGAGCTAGGACCCTTAGAGACGTACCACACCCTATAGGGAGATCTTAGGAGAGGTTCCTGAGGTTCTGCTCTTCCCCTATTTTCTGAATCCATGTCAGTTCTTCAAAATAAGATACCATATACTTTGACGGTAAATCATATTGGAAATGGGGCGAGAGAAAAAAGGCTGTCACAGTAAACTCCTTTCATTACAAGGTTTTAAAATTTAGACCCCTGAATCCTCATTTCCCTGGCCCCCTTAGCCCCTAGGCCGATGCGCTACGATCATTACCGCAATCTGGAGTCAACTACAAGACAGGACAGTTGAGTCCCTCTGCTCCAAGACGTAGGTGGGGTTAAAGACAGATGACCAGCGGGAGCTGTCCGTCGTCCTGAAATGCAGCATCTGGTTTAGGGTGCTCTGGGAGGGCCCGCAGTGTGGACGGTTCACCCCGAAGACCCTAGGCTGCAGCCTTTTGCACTATCATAGGATGCTAGAGGAGGGAACGTTTCCGACGTAGGGAGGGTCGATCCCCGACCTTCTGGATTCTCCAAACTCTTCATGTATAACTGGGGTGTTTTACACAGAATGGGTGGAAGTAGCCAAGGGAAATAAAAATGCATTTTTTTCATCAATTTATAGTATGTAGAAATTAGGGTCTACTTAATTACTTATATTCCTTTGACATTTTTGTTATAGGGCTTGACTAATGTCCATTACTGTGCAAAGAGAAAATCGTCACAGAAGGGCAGAGTCAATGCAGTTTTGCAATAACATTTTCTTTAGTTCAAAGACCCATGTATATGAAGTCCTAATAAGTGTAGCTCTATTATAAAGTTAATGTCAAGATTAATAAATTGTAAATTTCTATTTCCAGGGCTTTCAATTATTGGATTATTATACTCTCTACTTACAAAAAAAAAAAAAAAAAGAGCACATGTGGCATCTCTTTCATTACTTTGTTGCCTATTAAAAAGAAAGGGCTGGATGTAGGGGTGCATGCCTATAATCCCACATTTGGGAGCCTGGGCAGGAAGACTGCCTTAAGTTCAAGGCCAGCCTGGGCTCTATAGTGAGTTCAGAGGTAGCTTGAACTATATAGTGAGTCTCTGTCTCAGGGGACACACACACACACACACACACACACACACGCAAAGATGGAAAATACATAAAACAAGTTGCTTTTAAAAAACCATCTAACTTTTTATTTTATTTGTTATGTGTTTGGTACAAGGTCTCACTATGCATCTTGGACTTGTAGTGATCCTCCTGTTTTCAGCCTCCTCAGCACTGGGATTACAGGTGTGTGCCACCACACCCAGTCTTAGTGGTTGGCTCAGCATGCCCAGGGGTGGGGCTGGTGCAGCATGTGGTGCTGGAGATGGAATCCTGGTCCAAGAGCTTGCCTAAGCAGGTGATCAGTCTGCTGAACTATCTTTTGGGCCCCATCTAACTTTTTATAAACATACTAGGCGCTCCAAGGGGTGGGGGAATAAGAATGTTACTATGTTGTACAACATGGCCAATATGACAGGAGAGGAAATGCTCTCTGAAGGCTTTTCAGGAATAACCTGAAATCATGATGAAGGCCTTTAGAAAATGGAAGTCATTCAAGACAGGTTCTTATGCCGCTGAACTATCTCCCTGGCCCTGGAAGTCATTCCAGAATGGTCAGTTTTGAGAATTAAAATACAGTTGAGGGGCTGATTGTGGTAGCACCACACTTACACTCTGGGAGACTAAAGCAGGAGAATTGTAAGTTCAAGCCCAGTTTGAGCAAGTGAGTGATTGAGACCTTGTCCCAAATTTAAAAATTAAAAAGCCTGTGAATGTAGCTCAGTGTGAAAGCCCTGGGCTCAATCAGTAGTACTGAAACACACACACACACACACACACACACGCACGCACGCACGCACGCACGCAAGCACGCACACACACACAGATGTTGGATCTGTATGATATTTCTCTACTAACATGTTATGCTATCTACCATTTTTCTGCTTCTCCTGTAATCACTGGATTTCATTCTGACCTGAAGGGCTGCATGATTCAGTGCTTGTATCTAGTTGGTTTGCGTACTGAGTTCAGGCTGTCTGCTTGAACGTGAGCAGGAGCAAGTTACCCTGGAGCGGCCTGTCCTTAGCCAGGATGGAACAGCAACATTGGCTGACCAAAGTTCTTTCCAGTGTCCCCTTAGAAGAGTTGCTGGGCAAGCTCTCTGGCTGCCAGCGCCATCTAATGGCTGTTCTAAAAACGCTGGGCCCTAGCGGGGCAGCTCTTCAGAAAAGAGCCCCAAGTGGCCCAGCTCTGGGGGAATGGGGAGGGTGTGGTGGAGAGAAGGAAATGGCTTTCTGAAGTGGACAATGAGGGCACCGAGAATTTTTTCACTTCCAAAGCCACCCTAAGAAAGATTTGGTCCACATCTCTCCAAAGGAGATCTTTCCTCTACCTCTTTAAAAATTAGTATATATGTATGATAATTGGTACAAATACATATGGTATCCTGATCCTTTATACTTTCCCTCCTCCTCTGAGATTTCTTTTAGGCAAATTTATTTTAAAGTGTAAATGTTCATTAGGAATGACAAGATAGGGGCTGGGGAGATGGCTCAGTGGAATAAGTGCTTCTCTGGCGAGCGCAAGAGCCTGAGTTCAATTCCCAGTTCCACAAAAAAAAAAAAAAAAAAAAAAAAAAAAAAAAAGAGAGAGAGAGCTCTCTCAGGAATGACAAGATACTTAAGTCATCCACAACTTAATTATGAATACTTTTCTTATCTAATTAGATCTCTTTCTAACAGTGGGTGGAGACCTTCTGAAATCCAAAATGATTTTAAAGTCAGTGGTGAGCTGATTACAGGCCATGGTGTGGGTCCACCTGGGTGAGGGGGACATAGCAACACAAGACCTACCAGTGTGAGGGATGGGGCTGGGTGCCAGGAACCAAAGGCACCCTGGATGCTCCTCTCTTGTTTCCTTCTGACCTCTTGATTGCAGCATCTGCCCAAAAGTGGCTCCCTGGATTCTTCCACAGCATTTCCTGTGCCTATTCACAATGTTTGCTCCCTCTCAACCTAACTGTATCTATTTCCCCCCAAACACCTACATTCTCTCCAAGCCCACTTATTTCAGACTATATGGGAGAGACTTGGAGAACAAGAGGTCTGATGTGTGGTGTCCAGATGAACCAGTTTTTTTTTTTTTTTTTTCAGATGAACCAGTTTTAAGAGGATTAGCTTTACAGCTACACCTCTCCCAAATTACTTGAGTCTAGGCCATAGTGATCACCTGAGACTGTACAGGACATCAGATTGAGCTGTTTGAGGCTTTGACTAATGAACCTGGAGTTTTAAGCATCTTTATGCAAAACCAGTATTTATGGAAAATGGTGTTTCAGAGGAATGAGAGGATGCTGGTGGAGGAAGAAGGAAAATGAGTAGGAATTTTGGAGTCCTTCATCTTTCTTGAGTTATTCCCACCTTTTGGATCTGTAGTGCTAGGAACCCAGCCTCGAGGAAATGAAATAAGAAAGCTCTGTGCTGAAAGTAGAATTTAGCTTTACCTTGTTTCAAACATAAATCTAATTGTTTCTTATGGGCTTCAGATTCCTCATCTCCCAAATGGCTGGATCAAGCAAATCCCCCAAATAGCTTCCACTGCCAGCCTTTTGGGGGTCTAGTTTTAACAGAGATAAGGGAGAAATAGCCAGTTTTCTTAGGTTCTCTTCTTCTCCTCCCCACAACTCCACCTTACACATCTCTCAGCTTCTCAGAGCTGCTCCTGACCTCAAAAAGCCTTGGACTCCACAAGTAAGTGTTGTTGGTGTTGGCTTGCAGTCCTTCCTGGTGAGTGTCCAACATTGTTCTGCTCCTTGCAGGGGTTCCACCAATCTTGTTTGCCTCTGCAGAGTCTCAGCCTGCCACCTGGAAGATGCCGAGATCATGCTACAGCCGCTCGGGGGCCCTGCTGCTGGCCTTGCTACTTCAGGCCTCCATAGAAGTGCGTGGCTGGTGCCTGGAGAGCAGCCAGTGCCAGGAGCTCACCACAGAAAGCAACCTGTTGGTATGTGGGCCATGGATGCCACCTTGGTTTGGGCATCAGGTGGGACTGGGGCTGGGACAGCTCAAAGGAAAGGGCTTTGGGGAAGGAGAAATTCATTTCCATTAACTGGAAGTGAAGAAACCCAGGAAACAAGCAGAACTCTGCTGTAAAATCAAAACGGGGTCAATGGAAGGAAGCAAAATCTGGGTGTGGAGTCACACTGCTGTAATCCCAGCACTTGGGAGGCTGAGGCAAGAGGAGCCTGATGAGAGTTTGAGGTCAGCCTGGCATTACATAGTGAGGCCTTGTCTCAAGGAGGGGGAAAGGGAGAGGGAGAGGGAGAGGGAGAGGAAAAGAGAAAGTGACAGGCAGGCAGGCAGGCAGGCAGGCAGACACACAAAGACAGAGAGGCAAAGAGACAAAGATCCTTCATGGAGAAGGATCTAGTCCACAACTGCTGATTATTAGCTTTATTTCCTGCCCTGTCTTCTAGGGAGATGCCACACTACTTACCAAATTTAAAAATAGCACGATAACAACTTTTCCATCAACTGATCCTATGTCTTCAATCTTTTAGCCCCAACTTATTTTTATTTATTTGTTTGTTTGTTTATTGTGGTATTGGGGATTGAACTCAGGACCCTGCACTTGCCAGGCAAGTGCTTGTTCTACTGAGCTATCTCCCGGCCCTCATTCATTTTTAAATAGCCTCATAGTACTTACTGTTTTAATTCCATATATTTTTCTCCCTTTATCTACTACCAGTTATGAAGCCAGGTAGGTATTTTCATGAACATCTCTAGAGGGAGGAAGAAAGACCAAGGTACCAGTTTTTGGTAACTGGTGCCAAATATCTTATGCTTTTCCTGGAATAATGACCATCTACAAAGCTCTTAACAGTCTTGCCAGAAGCATTCTGGGCTAGCACTCCCTTCAGACACTGCAAGTGTGTGTGTGTGTGTGTGTGTGTGTGTGTGTGTGTGTGTACACATGCACATATATGTGTGCACATCCAGTGCCTGGCAAGAGAGAGTGAAATGCCCACGCTATATCTTTAGTGTTTTACCAAGAGAGAACTGAGTTAAGATAAAGGAAGAGATTTCCTCAAAGAGGTGAGTAGTTTTCATGTATCATATAAAATAGAAAAAAAGAGCCCAGGGAATTCTGTTGAATTCTGTAGATAGACTCCAGAGGCTTGACTGAAGACACTGCACAGCCTTGTCTTGCTGAGTGCTCACCAGGAAAAGAGTGCTGAACACAGTCAGAGCCCATGAGTTCTAGTCCCACCTCTGTCACAAGTGGTAGAGGGGGACCTTGACAAGGTTCTTTCATCTCCTCAAGCCTCCTGTTTCATCTGTTTAGAGGAGGGAAGTTTAAACTAGATAGTTCTAATTTTCCACTGTTAACATTTTGCAGTTTCAATAATTCTAAATATGTGCATTTGAAAACTCCCAACTCAGTAGTGGATGGGAGCCTTCTGTTTTCTCCTCTGTGGTTTCCAAGTAACTGAACTGCAGCCTATGGATCATTTTCCTAAGCAAATACAATATTACCACCACTGAATGCTCTGGGCTCAGGGACTGCAGACACAAGCTCCATGGCACATACAACGAAAATTCCAGCTTTGCATCTTTTTCTCTAGTCTCACTGAGGTGAAGGACAATGAATAAACTTGTCCCAAAATTCACTGCGTGGGGGGTGGGAGTGGGGGAGTACAAGATTAGCTAAACTCAAAAGAAACAGAGAAAAGGGCCCCAGTGGATACAGGAAAGTTTTTGAGACATGGTGCCATTTTGGGCTGTATAATGATTGAATTAGGTTTGCAGAGAAAGACTGAAGCATTGTTAATAAATAGACCTCGGGGCCTGGGAGATAAATCGGCGGCATAAGCGCCTGCCTGGCAAGCAGTTTGATCCACGGTACCACATTAAAAAAAACCAAAAAAACAAAAAAACAAAACAAAACAACAAAAAAAACTCGAAGCCAGATTTGCATTATCAAGATTCTCCCTTAAATTTCAGCCTCATCCCTCTTCTGGGCCATATGTATGTGCTCATTAGTCACAAAGTCATTAGCTACCACTCATCTGCCCTTTTGCGAATATTTTCTATACATTAGGCATATAATGGTATGATCCTGCTCCCCCAAAATCAGTAAGGACAGACAAGTGAACCACGGAGTGGGATGAAGTCCTTGCGCAGGGGAGATAAGGACAAGAGATGGGTTGACTTGACATCCCTGAGTGTGAGCGATCGGGTGGCCCCAGGCTGGGCAGGGCGGGCCTCGAAGTGAGACTTGGCATCGCACGTGGGGAGGGCTGTGCGAGGTGCAGAGGGGCAGCGGCCCGAGCTCTGGTCTTTCCTCACGGCTGGCGGTCTCCCCAAGGAGTGCATCCGGGCGTGCAAACCCGACCTCTCGGCGGAGACGCCAGTGTTTCCGGGGAACGGCGACGAGCAGCCGCTGACCGAGAACCCCCGGAAGTACGTCATGGGCCACTTCCGCTGGGACCGCTTCGGCCGCCGGAACAGCAGCGGCGGCGGCGCGAGCCAGAAGCGTGAGGAGGAGGTCGCGGCGCGCGAAGGCAGCGTCGCGCTGCCCGCCGGCGACCCCGAGTTCCGCGGCGATGGCGCCGCGCCGGGCCCGCACGAGGGCAAGCGCTCCTACTCCATGGAGCACTTCCGCTGGGGCAAGCCGGTGGGCAAGAAGCGGCGCCCGGTGAAGGTGTACCCGAACGGCGCGGAGGACGAGTCGGCCGAGGCCTTTCCGCTCGAGTTCAAGAGGGAGCTGTCCGGGGAGCGGCCCGCGGCGGCGCCCGGCCGCGACGACCTGGACTTCGGCCTGGTGGCTGAGGCTGAGGCCGAGGCCGAGGCGGCAGCGGCCGAGAAGAAGGACGACGGGCCCTACCGCATGGAGCACTTCCGCTGGGGCACCCCGCGCAAGGACAAGCGCTATGGCGGCTTCATGAGCTCGGAGAAGAGCCAGACGCCGCTGGTGACGCTGTTCAAGAACGCCATCATCAAGAACGCCCACAAGAAGGGCCAGTGAGGCGAGGGCATCCCGCCGGCCGGCCGGCTGAGGGGAAGCCGTCCCCGCAGCTCCTGCCCCCCAGCCCTCCCGCGCCTTCTGGTCACTGAAGCTGTCTGTAGTTAGGAAATAAAGCCTGTCAAATTTCGTAGCCGTCTCTGACTTGAATGTGGACTGCGAATGAAATGCAAAATTAAATACACAGTCATCATGGGGGCCGGGGAGATGGCTCAGTAGGATAAGCGCTTGACCGGCAAACGCAAGGATCTGAGTTCAATCCCCGGTTCCACCAAATAAATAAATAAATAAATAAATAAATAAATAAATAAATAAATAAAATACACAGTCATCAGAGATTAGCATCTAGTGGAAGGGAACGAAATGGTTTCCATATGGTCAAGTGGTGTTGCATAGCTCGTTAGAAGGAAATAGAGGGAAGAACGTGCCCTTCCATGCCCTCACCCTGCAGGGGCCGATAGTTTGATGGTCCAAGGTGGCTCTGTCAACAACTGGGATGACTCCATTTTCTGCCCTTAGTACTGTTACACGAGTGACCAAGGGACTCAGGCGGGCAAACCCATGCCAGGAGGGTTCTCAGGGCGATGGAAACAGAAGCTGAGTTAGGATTCCTTGGATCTGGGTGCTGGCTGAGCTCTTCACTATCCAGACTCAAGTCCCCAAAGGTCTCCAAGATTGTTTTGTCCTTTATCCCTCCCTAGCATGAGGGTTATGAGGACTAAAGGAGGAAATGGATGTGATCATCTATCACTGAGGAGCTGAGTGTCAGAGCTGACAATCATATCAGCTCCTCACACGTATCCTCAAATACATGGTCTTACCCCCCTACATGTTGTAGAGACATACTTGCCTGTGTAAGCTTAACACTACACAGATTCCTCTTCTAGTCCCTCAGGCTCAAGCTTCAAGGTTCCCTTTCTGCCATTAGTGCACCCCAGCTCTGCTCTCTTCCTGTTGCCCAGCAACAGACCTTCCCTTCTTGCACTGGCCTTGGTTGTAGCCCCGTTTTAACCAGCTGGTCTCCAGTTGCTTTCCTCCCCAACCCACGGTACACGAATTTGTATTAATGTGTATAAAATTAGTTGTATACCTGCTACATAGGATGAGGTAGGAAGATAGAAAGTTTAAGTCACACCGGACAACTCCGACCTTGTCTCAAAGGTTTTTTTTTTAAAAACATAGGGATGCAGTAGGTCTGTAGCAGTACACTTGCCTAGCATGTGAAGTCCTGGATCCAATCCTCAATACCAGGAAAAAAAAAAAATTGGCTTTTCCACATTTCCTCAGTCAATGTCAAAACGGTAACTTCGCCCTCCAACTTCCATCAGTTCCAAACAGCATGGCATGGCATGGCATGGCATGTATGACCTTGGTAACCAGCTTGCCCTCCTTATCAAGTCTGTTTCCCAGATGAAGGCTGTGCTTAAAGCCTACAGTTTACTCAATTCCTCTTCCCTTTTCCTTTGCTGCCTGGAACCCTCTGCCTTCCCCCCACCATTCTGTGTTGCCTGTTTTCAACATGAGCCTGGGCTCAATTTCACTTTTTCTAGGCAGGTTGTGGTCTCTTCCAGCTGCCCCTGCCCATTTTCAGAGTTTCTGCAGCCAGTGCCCTCCACATTGGACAACATGCTGTCTGGGTCAGATGACAAGTCACTTGCTGTGTGCTTATCTTGCTCCTTCCTTTCAGGGACACTCTAAACTCTGCAGGACAGAAACCAGGTGCTGTGTCTTTTTACCTCCCTGTGGTGTTTTCACAATGCTGGGGCACAGGTTTGCAGTCACACGTTTAGCATTCACAGAAGATCCCCAGATACCTACAGATGTACACACATCTGTCACTTGCGTTAGACTCACCAGTGGATGGTGCACATGAAAGCTGGCAGGGAAACAGTACCGTGTATGGTGTTTATACACATGCCCTGCACTTTGAAGTTCGGAGAGTTCACAATGAAAAAAAAATGAGGAATGTGCCCTGGGAATTCCTGATGTGAAGGGAGTCAGAAGGTTAGATTCCCAAAAGCCAACGTGGATTATGGGAAGAGAGGTAGAATGAAGAATGCCCCACTCCCTGGGCCTCTCATGACAACCCCATGCTGGGAATCTTAGATTTCTCTCTGGGTAGCACCTTTCCCTACTTCCTTTGAGGTGGGTAAAGTCAGGGTCAGTGGGGCTGGCTAAATGTGAGCAGTACACTGTTGGCAATCTTTGATTGTTTTTATCTGAAAAAAAATTACTTAAAAATCAAATAGACAAGCATATAATGACAACATGAACATTTATTTGAAAAGGGCATCATGAAGGCTTATTGGGAAACTGCGACTAATAGTCCTAAAGAATGATCTTGCTAAGAGTCTGTCTTTCTACACTCCCCCACTCCCCTTTCCCCCTTCCCTAAAATAAAACTAATTTGATGCAACAAGTTTACAATACAGAAAACTGCCATGGGTACTAATTGAGCACTCACATATAAATGTCTGATACTATATACAGATATTGCCAACTATGGACTACATTACACATGTGCACACACACAGGCACATACACACACTCGGCCAGGTCAGGGTTAGATGGACAAAGACAAATTACTGTGTATGGGCTGCAGCATATATGGACCCACAACTCTGCACTTCATATGCCAAAATCAAGTCAATGAAGAGCTAAAAGGGAAGGTGGTAGGCTAGGAGGCCTCAGGGTCCCCTGGAGGATGAAGACCTGGCCAACCAGTCTGGTATCCCAGGAGAGCTCAGAAACTGTTTCCTGCCACAGAGCCCTTCTTCCTGCCAGGCTCCAGGATAGGACCCACCATGACCCTTCTCCTATAGCCCTCTCACTAAGGCCTGACTTGGGGTAAAGGGTCACAGTAACTAGATGATTTCTAGGGCTAATGAGATAACCCTGCCTGCCCGGAACAAGATCACCTGCCATGGCAAGGTGACCTCTGTCTGCCTTTAAACACAACACTCAGTCCAAGAGCCCAGGTCTTGCCTTTCTCAACAGACCCCTAAGCCAGCCAGCTGCCACTTTCTGGTCACAAGGAAGAATTAGGAAAAATAGCCCCTCGCATCTCAATTCTGTCAGAAGGCCTGGGGACAATGGAATGACAACTGAAAGGCAAGCCAGCCCTGCCACTCTGCAGCCCAGAGGTCTCTGTTTGAAGAAACCTAAAGGCTGTTCCAACACCTATGCTGGTTGAAGTGTGTGCTGTGGCCCTGGCACAGCCAGAACAAAAGGCAGCGCCTACATGACATGACGCCATGCTTCTCTTGAGTACATTTACTGGTCCCAGGCCCTACTTTGCCCTGCTTATCCATTTGTATGTGGGTAGTGGGGGAGGATGGGAAGAGGGGAGTATCGAGGCCTTTTCTACATAGGCTGTACCGCTGGTGAGGCTGTTTAGGAGTGAAGAAATCACTTATCCTCCTTATCAAAAAGAAGAAATGGGAAACAGGCCCAGGGCACTGAGATCCCAGTGTAAGGAAAGCAGTGTCCCTGGGACCTCAGAGATGCTTCCCACTGCTTCTCATGCCCTTTTATGACCCAACCAAATTAGCAGAATTTCCAACTCTCACATATATTCAATTCTATTAAGTTCTATCAGCAGGATGCTGACTGCCCTGCCCCTTGCTCACAAAGCCAGAGTGCCTGGTAAGTTTTTGCAGGCAGCTGGTCTCAGAGGGCTGGCTGGCTCCTTTTGGGTCAAGCTCACAGAAGAAAAGGACAAAAAAGGGGGGCGGGCACAAGACAGTGTTTCCAGAGGCCTGGAAAGCAGGTTGAAGGGATACTAGGGCTGGGGAGGCCTGGAAAGCAGGTTGAAGGGATACTAGGACTGGGGACATGGCCACAGGCTCCTCCCTCTAGATCCTGCCCAACTCCGCTCTGCCTTTCCACCAACCACCCACCCCTTGGGATGGGGTGACAGGCATTACTGCATTCACCATTTAATTCTGTCCCAGGTGATAATCACATTAAACTTCCTCATTCTGAGACGTAGCTGATCAGAATGCAAAGTCCAC